CAAAAAACAAACAAAAAGCAACCCCAAATTTAAATATCTATTGCAATATAATAAATGATTTATCAAGGTTACAAGATATAAAATCAACATACAAAAATCATTTGTAATGAAAAGTATAAAAACAAAATTAATAGAAACTATCCCATTTACAACACCAAAAATAATAAAGCCCCGAGGAATAAATTCAACCAAAGAAGTATAGGAGTTACACACTGAAAACTACAAAACATGGTTGAAAATATGAAAGATCTAAATAAATGATGTTCATGGATTGGAAAATTTAGTATTGTTGAGATTACGATTATTATCTTCCTGAACCAGAAAGTACACGGGGTTAAGGTGCATGCCTTGTCATGCAACCAACCCTAATTTGATTCCAGGCATAATGTATGGGCCCCAGAGTACGGCCAGAAATAGCTACTGAGCACTGTTTAGTGAGATGAGAAAAGACCACTCTCTACCACATTGACATATGAATTCATCACAAACCTTTTCAAAATTATATTTTTTAAACAAAAACGATCCTAAAATTTATATGGAAATGCAAGGGACCCACAGTAATCAAAACAACTTGAAAAAAAGAACAAAATCATAGAACTCACATTTCCTAATATTAAATATCTCACTACAGGACAAGAAAGATACTTCAGGGATTGAAACATTAGCCTTGCTGCAGCTGACCCCAGTTCAATCTTGGGAAATTCTTTGTCCCCCGAGCACAGACATCTAGAGTATTGAGCGGGGAGTAGACCCTAAGTACCATCTGGTGTGGCCCAACATTCCCCTGAACCCTGCTCTTCACACAGGCTCACATACACCAAATTTGCCAAATTGCAATAATTAAAACATTGTGATATTGGCAAAAAATTGACATACATATCAATAGAATAGGATAATTTTTATAATTAATCCAGCACATTCATTTTTATTGAAAATCAGTTTCAATCCAACACAATTTCAATCCAACATTAATTTTCAACAAGGCTGCCAAGACAATTTTGTCAACATATGGTGCTATAAACACTGTATAGTCACATGCAAAATATCACAAGTCACTAGAGAAATAAATATTAAAACTGCACTGATACCACTTCACACTCACTAAAAGAGATTTTAGTTAGTGTTAGTGTAGATGCTGAGGATTGGATTCCTCATGCATTTCCTAATGAATATTTTAGAAAAGCAGAAACACACTTTGAAAATCAGCTTGATAGTTACTCCAAAAAATTTAACAAAGTTAGCATATGACCCAACAATCTCACTCCTAGATATATGCTCAAGAGAGTAAGAGATACATGTAGGAGTGTTCACAGAAGCTTTTATCTTCTGTAAAAGTTAAAAATTAGAAAGATTTACTAAACTAAACAAAAACTAAATGTGGTTTATCTATATAAGTAGTGGAATATTATTTGGATAAAAAAGAGAATAAAATACCAATTCCTGATACATCATGAATGATCTTAAAAACAATATTCTAAATGAAGTAAGCCAGGAAAAAATGCCATATGATATATGGTCTCATAAATCAGGTAAAGTCATAGGTTGTCATGGCTTTGAAATTGACTACAACAAAGGTTTCTTTTGGGGGTGATGAAAGTATCCTGAATTAGTGATTTTACAATAGGTTGATAGTACTAAAAGCCAACTAAATGCATACTTTGGTGAATTTTGAGAGAAGGGAAACATTTGAGAAACAGGAACATGTGACTTGCACCTTGTAAAGATAGGATCCCAAGTTTAACGTTCTGAACTTAGTGTCTTAATTCCATCACAGACTCAAATTCTGTTCAGTGGGCTCTGGTGATCACTCATACTATAACTCAGTGCACTCTGCTGTAGAGATGGCCCCTGAGTACCCTTCTCAAAAATGAGAGAAATTGCTGAGAGCTCTGTGAGGTAAGGAAGACGGAGATTGTGCGGACAGGAGTCTAGTTACCCCACTCTATACTCTCTAAGCATGGGAACAGCCTGTGGCACATGTGATTCATCTCATTGAATCACAGTTCCATGTTGGCTGGAACTCTGAGCTCCAGCAGGCGAACCCCCTGAACTCATATTGCTGAGTCCCACGCTCAATTTAGAGGACCTTCCACTCATAAGCTGGACCTCTGGGCAAGGGGTATAAATTTCCTGGCCTTAATATTCTCCTTGTAGAACCATGGTCATGCTCTTTGACTGTGAGAGAGAAGTGGATGATTTGAAGATGGTAAGTCATTGGGCCATAGGCTGGAACCCAGCATGCTCCCCATGCATGACCTCTTACTATGCTCTACACCTATGTTCAGGTCTGTCCCAGGCTTCAGACCTTCATAGCCAGCTGAGTCCCAGTGTTTCCTCTTAGACGTGTCTTAGCATCTCAAACACTTCCTGGCCCAAACTAATCTGCCTCCACAATCTCAGCATCCTCTTACGCCAGAATCCTGTTATTTCAGCCTCCCAAATCCCCGAAGTTCAACTTATCCCTTCTCTCGCTTGTCTCCTGACCAGTCCCCCTCACCATTTCTCTCTCGATAGCCTATTCTCTGCACAGCACCTGCATGTTCAAGTCCAACGTGCTCTCAAGTCACTTGTGGCATTTCACTGACTTCTTCCTGATCCTGCTGCTCTGGTCCTGTGGAGTGCTGGAAAGTGAGGTAGTTGGCTGGGAGGCCACCTGAGGGTGGATCTTGCAAAGATCATTCTAGTGCAGGCTGGCTGGAATCGTGTGGGGGCGAACCAGGATCCAGAGATCCTGGAGAGCTGCCTTGTCATCTTGACAGGGAGAAGTGGACAAAGAGAGGGCCTGGTGGTTTGCAGAAACCCCCTTGATTCTGGGATAGGAAAAATATCACTCATTCCCAGCTTGGCTTAGATGTCCATCCCTTGGCTACCTGACTCCATCCTGGGCCGTGGAGAGGCAGCAAGCCTGACACTGACACTGCAGAGGTTGGGAAACTCCAAAGGAGGGTATAAACCTCTGTCCACCATTGACTCTGAGCAGGAAAATAGGCCATGAGAAAAGCATGAAAGAAAGTCACCCAATAGTGCCAGACGGGATCTCTGAAGGGTGGGACCTGGTTGTCTTCTTTGTCAATTCAGGGTTTATCCCTAATTCAAGGAGGAGCTGTTTCACTTGAAATCCTAACAAAGTTTCTATGTTCCCCTGTGTTCCTCTGTTCCCATGCAATTTAGTGACCAGACTTTCTCAGACATGGGTGTCCAGTGAATCCCCTGTAACAACCAACACTTGTATCCACTTGCCTTTTCCCCAGCTTCTCTGGCTGCTCTTCGGGGCTGGCTGAACTGCTGGGCCCTAATACTGGAGAACACCCGAGGTGAAGTTGCCCAGGAGTCAGATCTGCCTCTGGGGCTTCCATAGCTTTACATCTATGGGGTGTGAGGGCTGAGTCCCCTGTAGAGGGGGGTACTAACAGCTTGGGGTGACAGTTCCCAGGAGCTTGTCCCTCCATCTTACTGGACACAGGGTCTTGCCTGAGGTCTCCTGGTGTCTTGATGTCAGCCTGTCTTCTAGCAGGCGCAAACAAGGCAGAAGGAAAGGGGAGGGAGTGCAGGAGGGTTGGAATAGAAGGGAACCAAATGCACCAGGATTGTGTAGGACTCTGCTGTCCCGGCCTCCCGGGGCTGTCCTAAGCCCTAACAGTAATCACTGTGAGCCTGGGAATGGATTACCACGATGTTTATCCCCTGGGTCAGGGACAGCACCCTGTCCTTCCCAGCTGCTCTCACTCCTGAGTGCTGCCTACCATTCTCCAAACCCCTTTTCTCCTCCAGTAAAGTTTCTGAGGCTACAAACGCCGAGCATGCTGAGCAAGGGGTCATGGAGATGATCATTCCCCTGCCAGGGCTTAGCTGGGCCCCAGAGACCAGCCCCTCCCACCCAGTGCTGCTGAGTCAGACACTTGAACCCTGCCAGGTTCCAAAAACGGACTCCGAGGCCACCCTGGCTGGACCCTGGTGGACATGTGACTGGCCTCATGAGTCACTCAGTCTCTGGGGGGCCTCTCTTACCTCATCTATGAAATGACAACAAGGGGCCTGGGAATGGAGGCTGGGGCACGCTGAGGAAACTAACCCCCACCACTGGGCACTTGGTTTGGGCACTGTTTCTGGATGGCATCCACACAGGTCCTTCACCTCCACTTTCAGCAACACCATTCCTGGGGGCAGAGGTGGAGACAGTAGCTCCCTCAGGCGAGATTTGCCAGGCACCTAGCAGATGGGGGTCAGAGGAGCAGCACAGGCTCTCCTTCTGGTTGAAGGCTTTGTGGCTTTGCTCATGTGTGACTTTGGGCAACTGCTGATCCCTATGGCCCAGGTTTGTGGTGAGGGGAGGGGAGGGACAAGGAGCAGGTCCCCAGATTCTCCCTGGTGGTGCTGTGGGGCAGGCCAGAACTTCACCTGCTGTTGCCCAAAGTCATCTGAAGGGACAAATTGGAGGGAACTACTCCTCAGTCTACTTTTTTTTTTGGAAGTATGCCTGACATACAGATTAATTTTTGGTGTTCAAAAGAATAATCTAACACTTGTCCGTTTGGGGAAATGACCCCCCACCATGTCTAGTTAACATGTTTGTGACCATTATATATACAACATCCTCCCCACCCTCCTTATATTTCAAACCTGCTCTCTTCTTTGCAGCCTTCAAATGACGCAGTACAATATTCCAACTCCAGCGCCTCTGCCCAAAGGCCATGCCCGTGCCAGATGTGCTTTCGAGCTGGGAACTCGGAGCCTTCCGACCCCCTTTGCCGCTAATCATCCTTTCACCCCGGCTTGCAGCCTGGTGTTGACAGGTGCCGGCAGCCCAGGGCCAACCCAAGCCGCAGCCACCCCACTCCCCCTCGCCCCCAGCTTGGGTTCCCCGGAGCTGCTGCTCCTCGGGAGACCGGGGGTCTGGCTGGCGGGACCCGTCTGCGGCCCGCTCCAAACTGACCCGCGCCCCTTGGCGACGGCGCCCCCAGCCCTCCTCCCCCGGGGTGGGGTGGGTAAGGGACTGTTACCTTCCCGTCATGGTGACTGCGCTCGCCGGACCCGGGTGGCCTCCGGACTCTCTCGCCGCCGCCGACCCGGCGCCCGTCAGCAGGTCCGGGGCGCCCAGCGGGGGAAACGCCCAAAAAAGGCCAAGAGCGGCTCCGCCCGGGCGCCCAGCCCAGCCGCCGCGCCGAGAGGGGTGGGGACACCGGGAGGTGGGACGGGGGTCACCCCGATCGGGAGGTGCTGGGCTCGGGAACAGGGAGCGGGGACCCACGAAATAGGGTCCTGGAATGGGAAGGAGCGCGCGGGGGTGGGATCCCGGGATGCGCTCCGCGGACCGCGCCGCCCGACTCCCGGTACACCAGCTGAGTGCGGCCTGAGCCGGGCGCGGGTCACGTCCTCCCCGCCCGAGCTTCCTCGCCACCTCCCTGGATTCCGGGCATAGTTTTCCTTTTAAAGGGAGTGAAGTTATAATAAACGCTAACTAAGGCGCCCCCCTAGCCCAGCCGGGACGCTCCGCCCGGTGCTGTCGCTCCACCGTCCCGGCTGCACCGCAGTCGGGACGCTCACGGGAAACGGCGGGGAATGTAGAGGGGCTATACTGAGACCACCCCCTCCCCCACGACCTTCAAACCTTGAGTTCACGGTGTTCCTGGGCTAGCGGAGCGGGGTAGGGGTTGGCGGGGTGGGCACTGCGGTTCTTTAATTCCTGAGATGTAATGGCTTAGGACTGTCTCCCAGGGCACTGGGGACTCCTAGTCCCCGCAGTTCTGTCCCCAAGGAGACCAAGGTCAAGGGGACTCCCTTGGGGCTGTGAACCTGATTGCATACTTAGAGGCCAGGCCAGTGCCTTTTCCAGAAATTAAACTTTTCAGCCAAGTAGGTGATATATCTCCTAAAATTTAACATGAGCGGATGGAGACAGAGTACAGAGGGCAGGGCATTTATCTTGCATAAGGTTAACCCGAGTTCCATCTGGGCACCCAGTGTGATCCCCCACCAGCACCCAGGGAAGTGATCCCCGAGCAGAGTCAGAAGTAAGTTATATCAACAATATGAACAACAATGGGTGTGACTCAGAGTCAAACAAAAACAAAACCAAAATCTAACCAAAGGTACTTTATAATCACGTTACCCAAACTGCTGTGTTTGGGGAGGGAGGAGAGAACCTTGGTTCTCTCTTTTATGATGGAATGCGACTGCCAATCTAGACAAGAGCCCGTAAGGAACTAGTGATATGAAACAATTTAGGGAATCTATCCAGAGAAAATCATTAAGCAAACAAATAGCCTTACTCTACCTAAAGGCAGTTAGTATGAGTTGGGCAGTGGAGTGCGGATCCTAATTGAAAGCTGCCAAAACATCACACACTATACAGAGGGCAGGGCATTTACTTGCATAAGGTTAACCTGAGTTCCATCTGGGCACCCACTGTAATCCCCCACCAGCACCCAGGGAAGTGAGCACTGCCAGCACTGAGAACCCTGGTAGATAAACCAAACTTAACGTTCCGCTGCTACTTCTAGTCTTGGCAACAGATAAAGACTACCTAGAAATGACCCAGCAAAGTAGCAACCCACAAATAAACCCACAAAATAACATTGGAATTCAGAAAAATGAGCTGACAGTAACATGCCAATCCAGTGCTTCCCCCCTTAAAGCTGCAGAAATAAGTGGGTGGGAGAGGTAGCTGTTTTGAAGTAGCTGATCTTGCAGATGTTAGTTCTTTCAATTGCATCTTAACTGATTCTTTTTAACTATAATTGATGATTGATTATGGTTTCTTCACTGATTTGCCTGTTTAGGGAGAAACATTTTTCACAATTGTCTACATGGAAGAGCAGGCAGGCTATGGGCCATTCACTGGAAATGACATTATGGTGCACATAATTCAATGCTTTTTATCAAACATAAATGATCATACGGTTAATTGAGTATTGATGGTCTAAGGGAATCAAAGAAGATGAAAAGCAGAAAACAGAAACAATTGTTCCTTCCCTCCAGGAGATCCCAAGATTTTAATTTAATAGCAAATATTTCCCCTGGAGAATTGCAATCACCTTGCATGCCTTATCCCTGGGGGGTTGGGGAAGGAAGGGGAATTCAGCAAGAACTGGAAGGTTACTGTGATCTCAGCTTATCCCAGCTGGAAACGTGTTGCCTTGGGCCAGTCTCCTAAGGCAAAACCAAGTCAGCATTTGAAGAAAGACCAGAGAGTTTCCTTACAATGGGTCATGCATACATTTACTCTAGGATCAGTCATTCATTTATGAGTATTTTATTTACTTTACTTTACATATTTATGAAACAAGGAGACACTAAGCAAGGACAAATACAACACTGATGCCTACATGGATGTCAGAACATAATTCTGAATGAAATTTTTTAAAGATTCCTGCTCCATTTATATCAAACTCTAGAACAGTAAAACAATCTGTGGGTTGCATTGGGGAGAAGTGGGAAGAGATAGTCTGGGAAAGGGCAATAGGAAATATTTTTCTGGTAATAGTAATGTTCCATATCAAAATAAGAATTTGGGTCACACAAGTACATACATTTGTCACAATCTTTTCATAAGATTTATGCTTTTCATCATATGTAAATATTTTCATCATATGTAAATATAAAGAAAAACCATATAAAAACTCTAGCAAATGATGTATACACTGAAACTTCTATGTAGAAAGGTAGATAGATATCTGTAGCTTTAAACTATATTTAAAAATGTTGGAAAGCCATAGTGACCTAAACAGCATGGTCTTGGAATAAGGAGACTATGACCAATGAACCAGAATAGAATATCCAAGGACAAACCCCTACATATTTGGTCACTAACATTTGACAAAGGAGGTGAGAACATGAAATGGAGTAAACACAGCCTCTTAAACAAATGGTGCTGGCAAAACTGGATAACCACACGCAAAAATTAAAACTGGATCTGTATCTCACCCCTTGCACAAAAGTTATTTCAAAGTGGACCAAAGGCCTTGAGATCAGACCAGAATCTATAAAATACGTCGAAGAAAATATAGGCAGAATGCTCTAAGATCTAACCTCAAAGATGTCTTCAATGAAACTGTGAAGGACAGGCCCAAAGTGGACCACCAAAATTAATTTAGCTTTGCTTAACAGGAACCCGTATTGCAAAATAACTTGTTTTTCTGCCCCTGAGCAAGAAACTCGGATACAAATGCCCCGAGTTGCGAGTCACGAGATGGGTGGGGGTTAGACCAGATAACCAGATGTCTCTCACAAGACCCAGGACTGCCCTAAAAGCCAGGACGTTCCTAAGCACTGACAAAAATGCTGATCTTTAAACTATAGGCTAAGGAGTGATGTACTTTTAAATGGATTGGTGAGGAAAGTAGGTGTTGTTACAAATCTATTGACTATGAAATGCACAGGCTCTGCTGTAAGGGCTGGTGAATAAGATCTCCTTTGAGGAAGCTCCGGGGGTCTTGCCCAACCTGCCAGACCTGCATGTCTGTACAGGCGGCTGACCCTGGCTAGCCAGTCTTACAATAAACCCTGTTTGCTTTTTGCAGTCTCTGGAGTCTCTTTGTCATTAAAGGGAGATCTTGATCCATGCCCTAACAAAACAATGTCACCAGCAAAGGCAACAAATAAACAAATGGGGCTTCAGTAAAATAAAGGGTTTCTGTATGGAAAAGAAACACAGACTAAATTTAAAAGACAGATCCCTGAATGGGAGAAAATATTAGTTGTCAATACATCAGATACATGGGCTGTTATCCAGGATATATAAAGTACTCACAATGATTAACAACAAAAAATTCAAAAACCCCATTAAAAATGGGAAAAGGGAATGAATAGAGACTTCTTCGAGGAAGATCAATGTATACCCAACAGGTGCATGAAAAAAATGTTCATCATCACTTATTATCAGGGAAAGGCAAATGAAGACAACAACAAGATACAGTATCACAGTGAGAATGACACATATCAAAACTACTGAGAACAATTTATGTTAGCAGGGATGTGATAAAAAGGGAACTCCCATTCACTTCTGGGAAATGTTGTCTGGTTCAACCCCTGTGGAAAAGAGCTTGGAGGATTCTCAGTAAACTTAAAATTGAGCTGCCATCAGACCCAGCAATTCCACTTTGGGGCATTTACTTTCAGGACAGAAAAAGCATTCATTCAAAAGAATGTATGCACACCATTATTATTCACAGCACTTGGTACAATAGCTAAAATTTGGAACCAGTCTAGATGTCCTACAGTAGATCAATGGGTCATGAAGATGTGATATATATATATATACATACATACATATATATATACATACATATATAGTGGAATACTACAAAGCAGTAAGTAATGATGACATCATGCAATTTGCTGCACTGTGGATGAAGCTAGAAGAAGATACCATGTTAAATGAAGTAACCCAGAAGAAGGATAAACACAGATAAACACAGGATGATAATATCATTTATATATGGTGTTTAGAGTAACTGGATGAGGAAATGCAATGGTTTAAGGAGGAGATGGCTAGATTTCCTTTGGTCCCAAGGTATAAGGAGGATAAGGACGAACAATGAATGGAGGGTAGAAGAGACAGATGAGGAGCAACAACAACACACACACAGAGGCAAGGGGCAAGGTATTGGTGGTGTTTAGGAAATGATAGACCTAAATGTCAACAACGCTGAAATCATGAGACCCAAACTTAAATTAATACAAGAGGTGCTTGTCATGATGGCAGGCTGGAACGGGGGTGAGTGTAGGAGAGGGGACCTTCAAATATTGGTGGAGCGAAAAAAATTGTATGCCTGAAACCCAACTATGAATAACTTTGTAAATCACGGTGATTTCATAAAAGAAAATTTGGAAAAAATAGAAACAAAAAAATCTAGTTGGATTGGGTTGAGAGGTAGTGAGAAGGACTAGAACACATACTTTGAATATGGAGATGGACTCCTGAGCATCTCTAGGACTAATCCAAGAACCATGCCAGCAGTAGACCCTGAGCACCACCAGACTGACTCCAGAAATAATATCAAGATGGATTTATGATAGGGATGGAAATATGAACAATTAGTTGATAAAGTGAATATAATATAATATTTATGGGGGAATATAGGTGGTGAGCATCTGAGTAGTCATGGTGAAATTCATTCAACTTTGCTGAAGGCTTGACTGGTGAGTCATTGGTGGATACAGTGTGATGGTAATGAGAATTCTGCTGACTATAGATTTTCTTGCTTTTCAGAATCTGTGTCTACAGTGTGAACTTAAAGTTCAAAGGAGAATTTTGATCTCAGAAT